AAAAAAACGGGCTAACAGTGGGAGAGGCACAGCCCTTGTACCCACAAAATATGCTTTAATTACTGTGTCACAAGCAAGAATCTGACACAATCAAACCTCTAAAGGGGATACTCCCAAGGCATCCTCCCAGCTCCGCTGGCAGAAAGAAAGGATCCATAAACAGCTAGTTCCAATACAAATAGTGGGGACAAAAGGCCTCTCAGAACACCAGTGCTTTGCAGATGTCCTCTTGATGGTAATCGGTCGCATAAACACTGTTATAACAGTCTGCTGCCATACTCCAAGCTAGTGGTCCCGGAAAGGGATGAGTAATGTGGGACACAGACACCAGATTCTTCTCCCCTGGTCATTCTATCAATCAGCAGAGAACAGAGAAGGATGTGGGAATGCAATATAGAACCTCTCTGATTGGTATGTTCTCACCCACAGCCACTTGGACTCTCCTCCGTCTGCCCCCCTTGCTTCCTGCAGTTTTCTTTTTTCTCCTCAGTCTCTTCATGAGTCTGGTTTCCATGCATTGGGGCTTCAGTTCCCACTGTTGCACTCCTTTCTTCCTTTCTTTCCCCATGGGTTTTCTGGTTGGGCCTCTTTCCCAGCAGCCTGCCAATGCCCTAATTGGGGAGAAGTGCCACCAAGAAAGTACTTGAGCTGAACTGGTTACATTGGCTTAGCTGTAACTGGCCTAGGAAGATCTGGGGAGGTAAAGGTGGAGGACAGTTTGACCTCCATAACTACACCCCTGCTGGCCAATTTTAGCCAGTCAACCTATGGTGATTCAGAGAAAGAAATGAGTGAAAGAGTAATATTTGGTGTTGTAAATATAGCACCCTGCTAGTTAGCTAGGGGAGATGGCTAGTTGTTTTTCAGCTAGAAAGGCTGAGTAGCAGCCAGGGCTTAGTTAGAGGGTTATTTTAGGTCAGGGCTGAGGGGCTCTGCAGTCAGTTCCATGATACCTCCCCCTGCTCTAGAAACTTGGTGATGATTCTAAAAGCAGTGGGCAGGGGTAGGGAGGGACTGGCCTGCACACGTAAGGGATCTTGGCCAATCCCCAAGCTATTAACTCTGCAAACAGGTGGCGACTTCTGTGCACTGTGAGCTTCACCATGCACTGACCCCGCTCTGTCATTTTACATGGCCTACCACTTGGTGGCCGAGTTGCTGTTGTTCCCAGTTGCTTCCACTTTGTTAAAATACCACTAACAGTTGAGGGTGGAATATTTAGTAGCCATGAAATGTCACGGATGGACTTATTGCACAGGTGGCCACCTATCATGGTACCACGCTTGAATTCACTGAGCTCCTGAGAGCGACCCATTCTTTCATAAATGTTTGTAGAAGCAGTCTGCATGCCTAGGGGTTTGATTTTATACACCTGTGACCATGGAGGGGATTGGAACAGCGGAATCCAATGATTTGGAGGGCTGCCCAATCTCTTTTCCAATATAGTGTGTGTGTGTATGTTTGTGTGTATATGTATATGTGTGTGTGTGTGTATATATATGTATATACAGTGGGGCAAAAAAGTATTTAGTCAGCCACCAATTGTGCAAGTTCTCACACTTAAAAAGATGAGAGAGGCCTGTAATTGGCATCATAGGTAGACCTCAACTATGAGAGACAAAATGAGAAAACAGCAACAGTGTGTGCCAACCTTGTGAAGACTTACAGGAAACGTTTGACTTCTGTCATTGCCAAAGGATATATAACAAAGTATCGAGATGAACTTTTGATATTGACCAAATACTTATTTTCCACCATAATTTGCAAATAAATTCTTTCCAAATCAGCCAATGTGATTGTCTGGATTTTTTTTCTCATTTTATCTCTCATAGTTGAGGTCTACCTATGATGCCAATTACAGGCCTCTGTCATCTTTTTAAGTGGTGGAAGAACTTGCACAATTGGTGGCCGACTAAATAATTTTTTGCGTGTGTGTGTGTGTGTGTGTGTGTGTGTGTGTGTGTATACATACACACACACACAGTGAGGAACAGCAGTATTTGAACACCCTGCAAGTTTGCAAGTTCTCCCACTTAGAAATCATGGAGGGGTCTGAAATTCACATTGTAGGTGCATTCCCACTCTGAGAGACAGAATTTAAAAAACAAATTCAGGAAATCACATTGTATGATTTGTAAAGAATGTATTTGTCCTGCACTGCTAAACATAAGTATTTGAACACCTAAGAAAATCAGTGTTAATATTTGGTACAGAAGCCTTTGTAATTACAGAGGTCAAACGTTTCCTGTAGTTCTTGACCAGGTTTACACTGCAACAGGGATTTTGTCCCACTCCTCCACACCGATCTTTAGATCTGTCAGGTTTTGGGGCTGTCGCTGAGCAACACAGAGTTTCAGATCCCTTCTAAGATGTTCTATTGGATTTAGGGCTGGAGACTGGCTAGGCCACTCCAGAACCTTGATATGCTTCTTACGGAGCCACTCCTTGGTTATCCTGGCTGTGTGCTTCGGGTCGTTGTCATGTTGGAAGACCCAGCCATGACCCATCTTCAATGCTCTGACTGAGGGAAGGAGGTTGTTGCTCAAAATCTCACAATAAATGGCCCCATTCATCCTCTCCTTAATACAGTGCAGTCGTCCTGTCCCCTTCGCAGAGAAGCACCCCCAAAGCATGATGTTACCACCCCCATGCTTCACAGTAGGGATGGTGTTCTTGGGATGCAACTTATCCTTATTTTTCCTCCGAACACGATGAGTGAAGTTTAGACCAAAAAGTTCTACTTTGGTCTCATCTGACCACATGACTTTCTCCCATGCCTCCTCTGGATCATCCAGATGGTCACTGGCAAACTTCAGACAGGCCTGGACATGTGATGACTTGAGCAGGGGAACCTTCCGTGCAATGCATGATATGAAACCATGACGGCGTAGTGTTCTACCGACAGTGACCTTTGAAACTGTGGTCCCAGCTCTCTTCATGTCATTGACCAGCTCCTCCCTTGTAGTTCTGGGCTGATTCCTCACCTTTCTTATCATCAGTGATACCCCACGAGGTGAGATCTTGCATGGAGCCCCAATCCGAGGGAGACTGACAATCGTCTTTAGCCTCTTCCATTTTCTAACAATTGCTCCAACAGATGATCTATTTTCACCAAGCTGCTTGGCAATTGCCCCGTAGCCCTTTCCAGCCTTGTGGAGGTCCACAATTTTGTCTGTGGTGTCTTTTGACAGCTCTTTGGTCTTGCCAATGGTAGTAGTTGGCGCCTGACTGACTGTGGGGTGGACAGGTGTCTTTAAAGAGCTCAGACAGGTGCTACTAAGTTAGATTAATGAGTGGAGTAGAGGTGGACTTTTTAAAGGCACAGTAACAGGTCTTTGAGAGTCAGAATTCTTGCTGTTTTTTAGGTGTTCAAATACTTAAGTTCAGCAGTGCAAGACAATACCGTATTTTTCGCTCCATAAGACGCACTTTTTTCCCCCCAAAAAAAGGGGGAAAATGTCAGTGCGTCATATGGAGCGGCCGGTCCGGTATTTCCACTGCCGCCGTGTCAGAATACCGGGCCGGCCGCTCAGCTCTACAGCGAGACCTTATAGAGATGACTGCTGACATTTGGGGAGGGGGGGGAGCGGGTACCTGAATTTGACAGATGCCCGCTCCCACTTCCGTGGAGTTGTTCTTTCATCTTACCCGTTCCTCTATCCAGCGGCGCGGTCCGCAGTCTCTGGTCATCCCTGTACTGTGTCCAAAGTCTCTGGTCATCCCTGTACTGTGTCCGCAGTCTCTGGTCATCTCCTGTACTATGTCCGCAGTCTCTGGTCATCTCCTGTACTATGTCCGCAGTCTCTGGTCATCTCCTGTACTGTGTCCGCAGTCTCTGGTCATCTCCTGCACTGTGTCCGCAGTCTCTGGTCATCTCCTGCACTGTGTCCGCAGTCTCTGGTCATCTCCTGTACTGTGTCTGCAGTCTCTGGTCATCTCCTGTACTATGTCTGCAGTCTCTGGTCATCTCCTGTACTGTGTCCACAGTCTCTGGTCATCTCCTGTACTATGTCTGCAGTCCATTAGTTCAGAATTTTTTTTTTCCTGTTCTCTGCCTCTAAAACCTAGGTGCGTCTTATGGTCAGGTGCGTCTTATGGAGCGAAAAATACGGTACATTCTTTAAAAATCATACAATGTGATTTCCTAAATTTTTTTTAATTCTGTCTCTCAGAGTGGGAATGCACCTATAATGTGAATTTCAGACCCCTCCATGATTTCCAAGTGGGAGAACTTGCAAAATCGCAGGGTGTTCAAATACTTCTGTTCCTCACTGTATGTATACACACTACCCTAAGTAGAATGGGGTTCAATCCTGTCTCTTCAAATTCATTCCCTGCTCTACATTTCTTCTTTTTATGTCTTTGTGTGTGCATGAGCCAATAATTTATACCTACTTAGTGAGTCCTAGAAGGGTAAAGTATATATGCAGTAGTACCCTAGAACAGCCATCCTCACCCATGTCGCTGTGGAACTCTAGGGTTCCTCCAGAGGTGGCTAGAGGTTCCTTTTAGCTGTGGTGAATTGGCTTCCCATTTGGGGGTGCCTCAATCGTTCTAGGGTCAATGCCATTTGAAAGAGCCAGAAGCACACACCAATGATCTTTTTAGCTGTCTCTATGGGTGGCGTTCTTCTTCCTGGCCACCAATGAATTGTTTTTAACTGGGGGTACTCTAGACCTAAACATTTTATTTTAAGGGTTCCCCAGGGATACAAAGTGTGAAAAAATCTGCCCTAGAGAGACCACAATTTTTGTAAATTTTTGTTATTTACAGATATTGATCCATAAGCAATCATATTGCAAATAGCAGACACATTCACAGTGCTTGGCGTATTTATTATTATTAATGCATTTCCAATGAAACAGTGGGTCATTAAACACGTTAATCATCATTTTAATTATCTTTCATTTCTTTTGCAGATTTTTTTTTTTTAATTCTGATTACATGAAGCTTAATTATTATGACTGCAAATTTCCCTTTAGATTAATTCTCATACTCCTTCATACGTATATGGTTCCTGTTGTGCTAGCTGGACTCGTCAACATACTGTTCGTCCAGGTGGTAAGGAATGCGTTAGGGTAGTCGAAAGATCTGTGCCCATATCTAGTGTTGCCTGTTGGATAGGACGATGGTGTGATGTTATACTTTGCATAGTAGAAAGTTGAAAGCCTGTAAAGAGACAAAATTTACTGTCAGAGCAGGCAAGGCACGGGTGAAAGAGAAGGATAACTGCTGAGTACATGAGGAACCTGATAGTACACTGCCCCTGACTAAAGCCCCAAATATTCAGTATTTCCTGAACTTAACCTTAAAGCCCAATCTACCTCTCCCACCTACAGTGGAGAGCAATGTGGGAGGGAAGATGCAACAAAGCTTTGACTTCAGAACTAAAAAAAAAGTCAGCATTCTTTTCTGCATCCTTGAGGGCCAAATAGATGAAAGCAGGATCACTGCTGGGAGGGGGGAGCAGGGTAAGCTTATCTGCTGAGTCACTGCTAAGAGAGCATGGTGAACCGATGCTAAAAGGGGAGAGAAGAAGAAGCTGAGTCACTGCTGGGACGGGAAGCAGAGTGAGATGATCTGCTGAGTCACTGCAGAAAGAGTGGAGCTGGGCCAGCTAAGCTGCTAAATCACTGCTGGGAGGGAAGAACACGGATAGCTGAGCTGCTAAACCACTGATGGAAGGGCGATCTAAACTACTGAGTCTATACTAGGAGTGAGGAGCGGTTAGAGCTGACCTGCTGAGTCACTAATTGCAGGAAGGGGTTCTAATCTGCTATGTCACAGCTAGAGAAGGGGGTAAGGGAAGATGAGCTGCTAAGCCGCTACTGGGAGAGAGGAAACTGAAATATTGAGAAACAATTAGGATTACTGCTCCACAGTACCTGCCTCTACAAAGGTTAGTAAGGGCTGGCTTTTGAAGCTCAGTTACTGCTTTAACCCCTTCCCGCCGGCGCCTCCCGTCCCTTTAAGAGTTTCAGAAGCTGGGAGTCGGGGCGGGGTTTAGGGTTCATGTGACCACCGTGACGCATCATCATAGCGGTCACATGATCGGGAAAGAGCAGACCGGGACCTTTCCGTAAGTATCGGACGTGTGCTGGGAGCGTGCAGGGTGCGCGCTCTCAGCACATATGTTTTTTGTTAATTGCACACAAATGTGCAGCCGCTCAGAGTCTAGGCCCAGACGCCTGGAGGCCGCACATTTGTGTGCAGCCAGCGTGAAGAGGTTGACGAAAGACTGTCTGAGCTTTAAATGCTGCCTGCCCTTTATAATAGTATTTTAAATACAGTGCATATTTGTCATACTTAATTGATTCAGATCATCAAACAAATTGTAATATTCCAAAAAGATAACCCAAGTAAATACAAAATGCAGTCTTTAAATTATTTCATTTATTAGGGGAAGAAAGCTGTGCACACCTGCCTGGCACTATGTGAGAAAGTAATTGCCTCATAAACGCCCTGTTGCATAACCCAAGTGTGCTTGAGCTTGAGGTCACAAACCGATGGCTGGGCATTCTCCTTCACGATTTTCTGGTAGAGCGCAAATTCATGGTTCCATCAATTGTGGCAAGTCGTCTAGATCCTGAAGCTGCAAAGCAGCCCCAGACCATCATACTATCACCATCTTTGACTCTTGGTATGATGTTCTTTCTATGAAATGTTGTGTTCATTTTCCACCAGATGTAAAGGGACGCACACCTTCCAAAAAGTTCAACTTTTGTCTCATCAGTCCACAGAATATTTACCCAAAAGTCTTGGGGATAATAAAGATGTTTTTCAGAAAATGTGAGACCAGCCTTTGTGTTCTTTTTGGTCAGCAATGGCTTTCACCTTGGAACTCTCCCATGGATGCCATTTTGCCCGGTCTCTTTCTTATTATTGAATCACAAACACTGACCTTAACTGAGGTAAGTGAGGCCTACAGTTCTTTAGATGTTGTTCTGGGTTCTTTTATAACCTTCTGGATGAGTCGTCGTCGTGTTCTTGGAGTAATTTTGGTAGGCCGGCCATTCCTGTGAAGGTTCACCACTGTTCCAAGTTTTCTCCATTTGTGCATAACTGTTCTCAGCATGGTTCACCGGAGGCCCAAAGCCTTAGAAATGGCTTTGTAACCCATTCTAAACTGATACATGTCAAATACTTTTTCTCATCTGTTCTTAAATTTCTTTAGATTGAGGCATGCTGTGTTGCTTTTTGAGATCCGTTAGCATGCTTCACTTTATATGACACCTTCTATTTAAGTGATTTCTTAATTCAGTGGGCCTGGCAGTAATCAGGCTTGGGTGTGGCAAGTGAATTTTAACTCCGCTTTCCAAAAAATGTGGTTACTGACAGTTCATTCATGATCTAGCAAAGGGGTGGGGGCAATTACTTTTTCACAAGGCAGGTTTGGATAGCTTTTTTCCCCTAATAAATGGAGTCATCATTTTCAAACTGCATTTTGTACTTACTTGGGTTATCTTTGTGTAATATTACACTTTGTTTAATGATTTGAATCATTTAAGTGTGACACATATACAAAAAAGAAAAACATTAGGGGGCAATCTCCCCCTCCCAACATTGCCCAGAACCGGTGGAGTAACATTACTGCTCTAATACTTCCTCATGACCATAGTCAGTTCTCACCAAACCACTCAGGACACGGAACTTTGCGGTCACATGGCTGCTTGCAAAAAAAGATTTTTAAAAAGGTATTTACACTATTACAGATGGTCTACAGCATTACTAGCGGCAGTGGGCAGGCAACAATTAAGGCTGAGCATACGCAGGTAGAATTTTGTTTGAATTTTGAAGTTATTTTGATTTGTCAATTCTCTGATGGCATTATCGAATGTACTGACGAACATTCATGCGAAAATCTATCCGTATATGACCTGCTTTACTTTTTTTTTTTTTCAAAAAAGTTTGCAGTTTCCTGATTAGGTCCTTTCTCCAACTAATCTCTAAATGGAAGGATATGCTTAACAGCAACTGGGCTTTCTTAGGGATGCCGATTTAAGAAAAAATAGGCTCATTAGCCTCCCTTGAGCAATAGTAAGTATCACAGCAAAAAATAAAGGCGTATTTTATCTTAAGCATCATTTTTCATGTTACAACCATGTTTGGGATGGAGCATGAAGCATTGTCACATACAGCATACCCAGACCCCAAAACTGCCCTTCCCTTACCAGAATTGTGGGGTGCATCATAACAAAAACAGTAGGATGGGCTGTCAGCAGGGTGGCAGCAATTGCTTCAGTCCTTTGAAAAAAAAAAAGGTCTTAGACTGTCTTCACCCCCAGCCCCATGTGTGTATGGAGGTAAACACTGCAATAGCTAGTACATTGTAACCGCAACACACAGATCCAGGATGCAGTGCTTTGTAGGCTGCTATGTAAAAACGTTGTAAATAGACATTGATCATAAGATCAGTGCACTACTTTTTTTTTTTTTTTTTTGCACAAGACAGACTTTAAATCCTTAAGTGGGGTTTGCACCTTCTTTGAGTTCAAGCTCTGTACACACCTAGAGATCATATTAAACCCATGATACAAGCAGGATATAAGCTTTAGAGATGGAGGTACTGATAAACCAAGTCTGAAATCAGACCTGGAGTTTCACACGGTTATGGGCCTCCCCTCCAAGTGATTTAGTTTAGGTGTTTCCAGTGATGGATATTGTTAATGCCATTTAATGGCATACAACAACAAATGTTAGTAACTGCACTCTTCCAGCCTTGTGCTAACAGTTTGGTGAAGACCCTTTTTCCTGTTTCGGCATGACTGTCCTCTGTGTACAAAGCTAGCTCCATAAAGACATGGTTTGACCAGTTTGGTGTGGAGGAACTCAAGTGTCCTTGAGCCCTGACCTCACACCTACCTTTGCAATGAGTTGGAACACAGATCCTGTGTCAGGTCTTCTCATCCAACTTCAAAACCTGACCTCAAAAATGTTCTCTTTTGCTGAATGGGCAAAAATTCCTACAGACACCCTTCAAGATCTTGTGGAAATCCTTTGCTAAAAAATGGATTGAGGATGTTATAGCCACCAAAAGATCACTTGCTGGCTACATCTATGAACAGATGTGATTAGCACACATCCCGACTTTTCATTACATTCAGTCTGCATCCTTATTTTCTATACTAATCCATTTTTAAGATCTATTTAAAACCACAGCAATGTAATTTTCTGTCCCAGAGTCAAAAACAGAGCTTGAAAAAGACAATGACTTTTACTTACCTGTCTACATTTGCATGGTGACAACAAAACAATGGGTCATTGGCAGCAATGGGAACTAGGATCATTGATCCACCAAGGTAAACATGCATGCTGTTGTGTATGTCTGCAGGAAGGAGAGATCACACAATGAGCATCACATGATGTACTGCTTTGACATCACACTACACACACTGACATCACACAATGTACCGCCATGGTATCATACAAGGTTCCAGAAATGTTTTTTCATTCTATTCTAGCCACTGCATGTGCCTGCACCTCCATCTTCTTCTTTTTTTTTTTTTTTTTTTTTTTTTTTTCTTTTTTTTTGCACTGTACTGCTATAAAAAGACAACCTACACTTATTAGTGAGGAGCTTAATAAGCAGCAAGCAGGCCGTTGTGAAACAGGCGGCAACAGACAGGCAATCTTAACAATACGTAGGCACCAAAACAGCCTTTGTGACAATATGTGGGCACCAATGGCAAACAGGCCATTGTAACAATATGTGGGCACCACAAAGGGTATTACAACAACACGCAGGAAATAAATAGGCCATTGTGACAATATGTAGGCACCAAGCAAGTCATTTTGGCAACATACAGGTCACTTTTAATGAGTTTTGCTGGTGAGATTTTTTTTATGATCTGGGAAAAATCAAGAAGGATAGAGGAATGTAAGCTGGTGCTTCCAAGAGGTTAATGGATAAGTTCACCTTTTAGAAAAAAAAAAAAATAATGCACATTTTTTTTGCAGGTAAAAAAATGTGCTTTTATTTTTTTTTGTCTGCAAGAGCCTGGAAAGCATTGCAAAAGAAGATCAGTAGATTGTTAATACCATGTGGGTCTCCTGCAGACCTGTCATTTTATTTGCTTGCTTGTACGTGATGTACGAGCAAGCAGATATACTGACAGGAAGAATGAATAAACTACACTACTACATGACTGTGAATGAGTGACGCGGCGCTGTGGGCGGAGCCCTGCACAGCAACATTTTTATTTTCTTAATTTGGCAGCTAGCAAGGGGGGAGAAGATCCCCCTCTAGCTGTCAAAGCGAGGATTGGGGGCTGGTCTAAATATAACATGTTACACCCCGAATATGGGTGTAACATATTACAAAAGGTGAAATTATATTTTAATATTTTTTCCCTGTGCGGACTCCTGTTCTGCAGTTATCTGGGTCAAGTCTGTTGTTTTTCCATTGAAACTGTTACAATGTTGATGTGAGTATTGTGTCCTTAGGATCACCTGCTAGATACAGTAGATGAACCTGGTCAAGTTTTCCTGCCAAATTACTGAGATCCACTGCCCCTTGAGGAGCCCATATGATAAATATGGGCTCCCCAGTGCCCCAAGAGAGGACGGCTGCTGAAACACTGACAAAATGTAGGCTGCCATGCTGCTGGACTGTGCCCCTAGCTAGGGGGCCAAGCCAGGGTTTCCTTGAGTGGCTGGGGATCTGAAGATTTTTATGGCCTCTCTGATACCCATTATGGACTAATTATGCTTTTGTGGATTATTGCCAAGTCATGGACTGTAAGGACTATTTGCTACCTCTTGTGGACTTTTTACCTTTACGGATTCTTGCCTTAAAAGGACAATTTGGGGGGCTGCGTGGCCAAGCCATTGTGGAGAAAGGAGGCTGATTCTGGAGCTCCTGCTGCCCACCGCCGTTAAGCTCTGCACATTGCCAACACGGCCGCCCGTGCCAAACTGAGGTGATGCTGTGAAAGAAGGGGGACACAAATCCGCCAGCAGATCCTGCTAACAAATGCCAATAGGGCAGCATCATCCTCTTCGCTGGTCCGCGGGTGGGAGACCTGGCTGGCGCCATCATGGCAGATCCTTCCTCTTCCTCTTTCTTCGGGGACATGCTGGCTTTCCTCAGGGAAGATCTTCATATGGAGGCCACGTGCAGAGTGAGTCCCAATCTCCCTCCGCACTCACCCGTTCAACTCTAGGGAGCTAGCAACCTAACCTACTGCACTTCCTCAAGATCCCTGTTGGGATATTAAACACTGCCTGAGTGAGCTCCCCACAAAGGCTGATTTGGCAGCCTTTCTCAAACAACTGGAAATCACATACAGAGCTGGTTTCCAGGAACTCAAATCTGATATTATACACATAGGCTCACGGGCTGCTACCCTTGAAACCCAACACAGTGAGTCCACAGTTGTGCTCCATTCTCTGCAAAACCAATTAGACAAGATTGCAGGATTGAGGGATTGCTTTCTCAACCTGATGATTGAAAATAGGAGCCGTAGGAAAAACTTGAACATCCGTGCCTGAATCCGTTAAAACAGCCTTCCTGATTCCAACTTTGATTTCTGCTTTCAGAAGAATCTTGGGAAAACCCCCTGCACTACCCAATGAAATAGAACCTGCTCTTAGAGCCCTGGGGCCAGCTAATCATGCTGTTAAGAAGCCTCGTGATGTGATCTCTAAACTGCTGCAATACCAGAAAAAAGAAGCTATCATAAGGGGTATGCGCAAAAGCCCATACTTGGAATTAGAGGGCTCAAAACTATGCTTTTCCCGATCTACCCGCCACACCTTGGAGCTACGGAAAAGCCCACGCCCTTTACTGTACACTCTGCATACTGCGGGGGCTACATACCATTGGTGTTTTCCATCCGGCTTACAGCTACTAGATAGAACTTCGGCCACCCTCTGTGACAAGGATGACCTACCGCAGTTTCTTCAAACCCTGAATTTGTCTGATGTGGACTTTCCTGACTGGAGAGCTGATGGACCATCACCTCACATTCACCTGCAACGTGATTGGCAGGAACCACGCTGGAAACGTCAGCAGATCTGAAACCCTCACTCAATGCCAAAGGAAATACTTGAACACTTGCTCCTGATTACACTTCCAACTCATTTTACTTTGGTGCCTCTGACCACACATTTGGGACTGTTTCCATCTTCCCAGTTACTGGCCCCCTAGTGCCATGTAATCTATTTTTTTTTTCCTTTTTGTTTTCTTCTACTTATATCTACCTGTCCCTAATGTTGATGGCCAGGGGTTTTGGGACATTTGGTTTGGCATGTAAATTGTTCTTGTTATTTGGCTGTGCAGTATTTTCAATGCTCTTTATTTATGCATTTCTGTAGGCGGGAGGCAGCTCCGGCTGGAGTTGCCTGCTTGGGTATGGCTTACACGCTTCCCCACTATAGGTCCACCCCATTATGTTTTTTTTCACAGGGAGCTCACCCTTCGGAGTTGTGGACTACTTGCCACCACAACTGCTCTGCGGTCCGTTGTCCATGCTTAGGTTAAGTTTGCTATTTCTTTCTTCTGATCAACTGTCGTAGTTTCCATTTAAATGCAGTAGAGTATGACGGGAGATAAAAGCTCTCAAGCCTGAGGTCCTGATGTTGCAAGAGACCCATTTTGAGATGCGATCAATCCCGAAACTACCATTGTACCTATTTGACTGCTAGTTTCTGCGCACGTCCCCACTTAAGCGAGCCAAGGGAGTGGCAAGAGCTTTTCACAAAACCTGCCCCTTCCTCCCGGAGTCCCACCTAGAAGACCCTGAGGGTAGATATGTTACGGTAAAGGGTTACATTTATGGTAACCCCCTTACATTAGTGAATATTTCCGCCCCGAACTCTGGCCAGGTGTAGAGTGCTTGATATCTTGCAGGACTACTCCTCAGGCTCTGTAATCTTGGGGGAGGGATTTTATTATCTGTCTGGCAAGTCCTCAATATCTGTCTCTGATAGGAAACACATTTTTAGATTCCCTGTGAGATATGCAGTTGGTGGACTGATGGAGGGTTTTACATGCCAATGATAAAGATTTCTCCTTAGTGCACCAGTCGTACTCTGTCTGCTGTCATTAGGTCAGTTGGAGGAGGAATAGTGCCCCATCATTGGTGTAAGTGGGAGGAATTGTGCTTCAAAGTTGGTGTCAGTGGGAGGAATAGTGCCCCATCATTGGTATCAATGGGAGGAATAGTGCCCCATCATTGGTATTAATGGGAGGAATAATGCTACATCATTGGTGTCAGTGGGAAAATTAGTGCCCCATCATTGGTATTAGTGGAAGGAATAGTTGCACATTGTTGGTGTTAATGTGAGGAATAATGCCCCATTGTTGGTGTCCGTGTTGGTAGAAGGAATAGTGATCCATCCCTAGTATCAGTGGAGGAAATAGTGTCCCATCATTGGTGTCAGTGGAAGGAATGGTGCCTTATTGTGTTGTAAGTGAGAATAATAATGCCCTAGGGGCCAGATAATGGCACACATATGGCCACATTTGGCCCATGTGTTGCAGTCTTTTTCAATACAGGTAAATAATGGATTCCAAGCAGAAGGGACATGTCGTCATTGGGTTGTTGATGAAGGAAAGGTGCAGGCTGTCTGATATTTACAAAAGGCTACAGAATGTTTATGGAGATCACACTTAACAAGAGCAATGTGCACAGATGGATGAAGAAGTTTAACCAGTTCCGAACCGCGCTATAGCCAAAGGACAGCTACAGCGTGGTTGTATTGTTCTGGGACGACGTCCATGAACGTCATTGCAGAACACGCCCCCAGCAGCGCACACTTGTCGCCACCGGTGATCGCTGTGTCCTACGGACACAGTTGATCACGTCATACGGTAAACGGCCAATCACGGCGGCCTTTTACCACATGATCAGCCGTGTCCAATAAAACAGCAGATCACTGGGTAAATACAGTTGCCGGTTATCTGCTGCACTTTCCTTATGCTGTCCAGATGATCAGTGCCCAGCAGTGCAACCCACCTGTGCCCAGCAGTGCTGCCTATCAGGCAGCATTGATAAACAGCACTGATGAGCTGGCACTGATGATGTTGCACTATCAGTGCTGCCTATCCGTGCAACCTCATCAGTGTCCATCAGTGCTGCCTATCAGTGCAGCCTCATCAATGCACATCAGTGAAGGAGAAAAATTACCTGTTTGCAAAATTTTATAATAGAAACTAAGGACAGTGTTTGGTTTTTTTGTTTTTGTTTTTCAATTTTTTTGCTCTTTTTTTGTTTATAGCGCAAAAAATAAAACACCTGGTGGCGATTAAATACCACCAAAAGAAAGATCTATTTGTGTGAAAAAATGATAAAAATTTCATATGGGTACAATGTTACATGACTGTGCAATTGTCATTCAAAGCTGAAAGCTGAAAATTGGCCTGGGCAGGAAGGGGGTAGAAGTGCCTGGTAGGCATGTGGTTAAATGGTGTCATCTCTGCAAACAATCTGTAGCAGTGTGTGGATGTTGGACAGCCTACACCCTTTCTTTGTCAAAGACTCAATGACAGCACATTGCTTCTGCTTGGAATCCATTAATTTTTCTACAATAATGAAGAGGAAGAAGAGTTACTATAGTGGAAGAGGTACTCTACCACCATGTGAAAATTGAACATATATACATTTTTTGTCATCCCTGAAGAAGGGTGATTGTTAGTCCTGAGGTGCGCTGGCTTTCAACTGATAATAAAAGACAATCATTTGTACCTTTATCACTTACTGGATTTGTCCTTTTGCATAGTTAGTCTGGTTAAAAAAAAAGACAATCCTATATACACAATTTTATATCCACAGTTGATCCAGAGAAAAGCAAAACAAACCAATAAAGCATCATCCAATTTGCTCCAGCGGGGGGAAAATTCCTTCCTGATCCCCTAAGAAGCAATCAGATATTCCTTGGATCAACTTTACCAATAAATGTTAGTATCCAGTTATATTCTGTGTATCTAGGAAATAATCCAGGACTTTTTTTTAAAGCAATCTACTGAGGTGGCCACAACCAACTCTTGAGGGAGTCTATTCCACATTTTCACAGCTCCTACTGTGAAGAAGCCTTTCCATATTTCGAGATTTCATCTCTTTTCTCCAGACGTAAAGAGTGCCCCCTTGTTCTCTTTGATGACCTCAGGGTGAATAACTCTACACTGAGTTTTCTACATGGATCACCTATGTATTTATACATGGAGATCATATCCCCCCTTATGTATTCTACATGGAGATCATATCCCCCCTTATGTATTATACATGGAGATCATATCCCCCCCTTATGTATTATACATGGTGATCATATCCCCCCTTATGTATTATACATGGAGATCACATCCCCCTTATGTATTATACATGGAGATCATGTCCCCCTTATGTATTCTACATGGAGATCATACCCCCCTTATGTATTATACATGGAGATCATATCCCCCCTTATGTATTATACATGGAGATCATATCCCCCCTTATGTATTATACATGGAGATCACATCCCCCCTTATGTATTATACATGGAGATCACATCCCCCCTTATGTATTATACATGGAGATCATATCCCCCCTTAATCTCCTTTTCTTAAGAGAGAATAAATTAATTTCCTCTAATCTATCGGTTAACTATTAATCACCCCACCCCTCGTGTAATGAAGATGAAGAGCGGAAGACATGTTTAAAGTCCAGCCTGGGTGGTAACTACATCTCCTTTCCATAGATACAGTGGTGGAATGAACATTGTCATCCTACGACAGAAAATGTATTATTCTTAGGATTACCAGGTGGAAATAAAGAGGAAAAAATTGACAAAAGAAAAAAAAACTAATGCAGACATCTCCAAGGACTGGCAAGTTGCAATATACATATTACATAGCTTTACTCCCACAACCTTTTTTTTTTATTTTACCCTGTCTTACCTGTTTTGCAGCATTGTCCTTGATTCATATACTCACCTGCCCAGCAGATCCGGGGTTGTTCTGCAGCAATCTGTTGCACAAATGTGACAGCCCGGGTCCAGTGCCACCAACTCGATCCACCTCCGTCACTGTGAGCTGGCTGCCTCCTTCAAGTTCAGACAGGCAGCCCTCAATGGGGCACACCAGCCCCACCCCCTGGTTGTGTTTTTTCCTGCCTCTGCAGCCTTCTGGGGTATGTGATTTAGATACCCCTGGAGACTGCAAGAGCGAAATGCGCTTTTTTTTTTTTTTTTCAAGAAAATCAGAGATTCCCGGTTCCTACCTTCTAAGCAATTCCTATAGCTATTTACTGAGCTTGTATCATAAGGTGCCGTGTCAAGGTTTGTCATGGTCATGCAGTAGTTTACATCATTCACATCTGGCTTTACAATGTCTGATAAGCCTGCTAGGCGAACAATCCTCGGGCGTTGACAAACACAATCCTCCATTACGCATATCGTTTGAGGATAAGTGATTGTACAAATTTGCTGGAAGGGGAAGAAAAAAAAAAAAGCCATTTCATGAAGAATTGTCTACTTACATTATACTGTAGCATGCAAATAGCAAAATCTAGTAATATAAACATAAATATAACATGATAATAGCATAATATACTAATAAAACTATAAATATGACCTGTTACTGGAATAACATACTAATAAACATGAATATAACATATTCAAATATTAATAAACATGTACTGTATATGACATGTTAATAGTATAAAAAATATTAATAAAAACATTAATATAACTCTCTTATAGCATAATATACTAATAAACATAGCTATAACACGCTAATAGCATAATATAATAGTAAACAAAGATTTAACTTGCTATTAATGTAATATACTAATACATGACTATAACTTTCCTATAGTATAATATACTAATAAACATAGAAATAACTTGCTAATAGCATAATAGAATTATAAACATAAATGGAACTTGCTAATAGCATAAGGTACACATACAAATGTTATTATAACATGCTAATCGCATAATATAATAATAAACATAAATAAAACTTGCTAATCGAAAAATAAACTAATAAGCATAGATATAACTTAGTAATAGCATAATATATTCATAAACAGAAACATAACTTGCTAATATCATAATATACTAGTAACAACATAATCATATTAAACAAACAGAAATAAAGTGTAATCAGAACATAGAATGGCATAGTAATCATAACATTCTAATTCATTACCATCCTAACATACACTTATTATGATATTTTGACACTACTACATAAATCATAAAAGAAATGTGTTGAAGGGATACCTGTCACAGCTATTTTCCCTTCTCAACATACATCAATTTTGAATCAATACTCACAAATCCAAATAAAATACTTTGATAGGGTGTGGCTTGGAGCCCGGCAAAGATGGCGCACATTGAGGAGATCTGTGATCCCGCTGGCTTCTAGTGCTTTTCCCCAGCTCCCCGTGAGTCACAGCATGGGGAAATGTACCTGACACACGCGGCAATCCCGCTCCTGCCTCTCGGTCTCGTCCTCCTTGGCCTCAGCGAGGAATATAATGAATATCTTCTGATCACAGTGCTCAGCCAGGAACAGCATGGCCTCTAGCAAGATGGTGCCGGCCCGGCATTATGGGCAGTCTTGAGGCACCCTTGGAAAATTGATGGACAGTCTTGAGGCACCCTTTAATATTATGGACAGCCCAGAGTCACCCTTTAATATTATGGACAGCCCCGAGGCACCCTTTAAAATTATGGACAGCCCCGAGGCACCCTTTAAAATTATGGACAGCCCCGAGGCACCCTTTAAAATTATGGACAGCCCCGAGGCACCCTTTAAAATTATGGACAGTCTTGAGGCACCCTTTAATATTATGGACAGTCTTGAGGCACCCTTTAAAATTATGGACTGTCTTGAGGCACCCCATTCTAAAATGTGAAAACTATTCTAATAGTTTTATATAACGCAGCAACATCCACACATATAGGACACACAATATTAGAGGTGATTTATTCTTCCAAAGCAAATACACTATATGCAGGGCTTAAAATTTCAAATCCTGAGTTACTAGCCAGGCCTTAAGAGTTACTCGCCACCAGTTGCCCCACCCAACCCTCACCCTGCTACACCCCTAATTCTGTCCCTAACCACGCCCTCGTAAATTATTTCATGAAATTACACTGTTAAATGTTACCCACATTACATCAGGGTCCCCAGAGTTCCCCCACATTACATCAGGGTCCCCAGAGTTCCCCCACATTACATCAGGGTCCCCAGAGTTGCCCCACATTACATAAGGGCCTCCAATGTCCCCCTAAACACTCCATCATACTTAGACCATGTACCGCATACAACCATAACCCCCCATAATCTTTCACTCACAAAACTATAACTCTACCAAGCATATCCTACCTACTATCCAACCCAGCAGTATCTCAAATGCCCCATACTCTACCACCCATAATAACCACATAATCCTGAACCTACCCAAACCACCCATACATGTAGGTTTACATACAGACATATGTACATACACACACACAAACAGAGACACCTGTACACACACAGAAGCATGTACACACATGCACAGAGACACATGTACATACACACACACATACTGTACAGATACATGTATACACACACAGACACATGTACAGACACGCATACATGTAGATACACATGTACATACACACAGACACATGTACACACAGACACATTTATGTACATACATACACACAAACACACACCTGTACACACACACATACATGTACATACATGCAAACACATGTACAGATACACACATGTACATGAACACACACACACACACACACACACACAAGGACACAGCCCTATAAAAAAAAAGCTGCAGTAGTTTGATACCTTCACTCACAGAGCCGGGTACTGCACTCTAGGAGGGGGCAGAGAGCACAGCACACACTCCTTCCTGTGCTTTCACTTTGCTCAACTATTGAGCAGTCTCACAGCTTCCAGTGCGAGTGACAATCCGGCCCTGAGTTCCGAGCCTGCTCTGCAAGACAGCCCTGGGGACACACTCGCCCCCACCATAAATTTCACTAGCCAATGTGAGCTGGCAAGTAGAAATTTCAAGGCCTGCACTATTGCACGCTGGTACTGACTAGTATTCCCATGTTTCTCTTCTCCCTCAGTTTTTCTCCATCACTGAGTTAATGTGACCCCATCACTGATGGAGAGGGGCTGGGGAGGGTCAAACAAGGCTGCTTAGAGGCAGCTGACATCCTCCTTATCAACTGATGATGTCATTGGTTGTCAGGATGCCGATGGCTGGAAGGTCATAATGGTGCACAATGAAAACCTGTGGCTGGCTTGTATACAAGTTTTGGGCAATTTTTAGACATTTTGCCAAGGCATCCCTGAAGAAACCTCAAGGCACCCCAGGGTGAGAAAGGCTGGTCTAGATTACAGAGGCAGCAGAAATAACATAAGAGTGAAGGGGATCCCTGAGTCAGTGCTACCTGAACAAATACCACAAGCACTTCAGAAAGTATTTAATAACATCCTTGAGAAACCAGTGGACTCTGAAATAGAGTTTATGTGAGCACACAGAGCGCTGAGATCCAAAGGCCCAGAATCTGCTCCTTCTAGAGATATTATTTGTTGCCTCCAGAGCTTCCCATTGAAAGAAGAGATATTTAATAAAGCAAAACAAAATGAAATAACCTTTACCGGGGATGGCATTTTATTATACCAGGATTTATCACCCATCACACTTAAAAACAGGAGAGCACTACACCTCCTACTGGAGTGGAGACACTACAAGAGAAAGGCTTAACATACATGTGGTGCTTCCCATTTGCTTTAAGTGTTACACTACAGGGCAAGCAAAAATATTGTTCTGCACCCCTGATGATCTACCAGACATTTGTAATGCATTACAAATAAAACCGCCTAAGCTGCCTGAATGGCACCAGGAGTTTATACTCCCACCACATGTCCACAGCCCACCGAGATGACCTTTCTCCACTCAGGACAATTACTGCACCAAATAAAATAGAGGGAGGCGCCAAACCCCGGCTGGGATGGAATCCCCCTTGCCTTGCAACCGGACTCTGAAGGAGGTCTGAACACCAGAGAGGAGGTCTGAACACCAGAGAGGATGACTTCTAATAGCTGAGAGGAGGTCTGAACACCAGGGAGGATGACTTCTAATAGCTGAGAGGAGGTCTGAACACAGGGAGGATGACTTCTAATAGCTGAGAGGAGGTCTGAACACCAGAGAGGATGACTTCTAATAGCTGAGTCATTTCAAGATCCACCATTACTATTTGCCTGCTGTCTTCTATGACTGAACTAAGTTAGAAGAAGACAGTAAGAATGGGTATTACTCTCTTTCCTCTGATACAAAAGTTCTTATCTCAATAGCTAAAATATGATAGCTTTTTGAAAGACATTCTGGGGTTTATATCTACCGAACTTCAATGTAAGACCCTATCTTAACAGTCTTTCAGTCTTCAGTTGAACTACAATTGACTTAATTATTGTTCTTACTGCTTCTCCACAAGAGCACTTATTGTTCTATTGATAATTATTTAGGTTGATATTATATGGAAAGAAAATTTTTAACAATGAAGTCACAGATGGATAACACCTGAGGTATGCACAGCCCTATAACCACCCCTTTTATAGACCATAGATCATTACACATTCCATCACTCTCTTCCCACAACATGTTGCTCAAGAGTCCTAAACTTCTATTATGTGTCCTATATATTAAATATTATTTCAGATCTGTGCAAACTATGGCTTATCCAGTGGAAACTTTGTTACAAAGAACGGTTGGACTAGATTACTTTGTAAGAAAGATTCAACATTGCTGTGACATATGAAGCTATAATTGGCTTGAGTTTTCTTTGCCTTTTTATAAATATAATGTGTAAAAGTTCATCACTATTTCTGTTTGATAGACCCAATGCTCCACTAGTTGGCGGAAACCTAGGGACACCTAGAGGCTTGTATTTTTCTAGTCTTTCTAGTCCCCATTTTATATTATGCTAAACTTAGCCTACCTCTCAGTTCATTACCAATCCTCCCAAGATCCCCCACAGGTAGTCTTGTGAACTTTTGGTTGAATTGTTTTTCAATCTGGTTTTTACTAAATTTTTGAACCTTTAAGGTATATGGTTATCTGAAGGTATTAAACCCTTACTGACTTCCTAAGCTTCAGTAGATGCTTTACTACACTTGCAAGCTCAAATTTCAAGAGTTTATCCCCCCTCCTGACTTACTTAATTGAGTGTCTATTCTACATACATGGTTTACAAATTTCTAGGAACCCAGCCTACAGTGATTTCTCACAATGTGAAGGGTCTGAACATCCCTGAAAGAAGAATTTCACTTTTGAGGCATCCTAAAAAAAATATTTGTACACTGTGCTGTACATTCCCAATTGTACACCATCTTTCTATAAACTGTGCTGTACATTTCCTATTCTGCACCGCCCGATTCTGTACACTGTGCTGTACATTCCCTGTTTTGCACCGTGCTATTCTGCACACTGTGCTGTAGATTCTCTATTTCGCACCATCTCATTCTGTACACTGTGTTATACATTTCCAAATCTACACTGTCTCATTCTGTACATTGTGCTGTACACTCCCTATTCTGCACCATGTCATTCTGTACATTGTGCTGTACACTCCCTATTCTGCACCATGTCATTCTGTACACTATGCTGTACACTCCCTATTCTGCACCATGTCATTCTGTACACTATGCTGTACACTCCCTATTCTACACCATGTCATTCTGTACACTATGCTGTACACTCCCTATTCTGCACCATGTCATTCTGTACACTATGCTGTACACTCCCTATTCTGCATTTTCTCATTTTGTAAACTGTGATGTGCATTCCCTATTCAGCACATTCTTATTCTGTTTACTGTGCTGTACATTCCCTATTCTGAATTGTCTTCTGTACACTGTGCTGTACATTCCCTATTCTGAATTGTCTCATTCTGTACACTGTGCTGTACACTCCCTCTTCCGCACTGTCTTGGTCTGAACACTTTGCTTTACATTCCCCATTCTGCACCACCTCCTCCTGTACACTGTGCTGTATATTCCCTATTCCGCACCATCTCATTCAGTACTATGTGCTGTACATTCCCTCTTTCACACTGTCTTGGTCTTAACACTGTGCTGTACATTCCCCATTCCACACAACCTCATTCTGTACACTGTGCTGTACATTCCCTATTCTGCACCATCTCATTCTGTACACCGTGCTGTACATTCCCTCTTCAGCACTGTCTTGGTTTGACCACTGTGCTGTACACTCCCCATTCTGCACCACCTCATTCTGTACACTGTGCTGTATATTCTCTATTCTGCACTATCTTGTTTAGTAAAATGTGCTGTACATTCCCTCCTCCGCACTGTCTTGGTCTGAACATTGTGCTGCACATTCCCTATTCTGCACTGCCTCATTCTGTACACTGTGTTGTAAATTACCCATTCCACACCACCTCATTCTGTACACTGTGCTGTACATTCCCTATTCTGAACTGTCTCATTCTGTACACTGTGCTGTGCATTCCCCATTCCACAACACCTCATTCTGTGCACTGTGCTGTACATTCCCTATTCTGCATTTTCTCATTTTGTAAACTGTGCTGTACATTCCCCATTCTGCACCACCTCATTCTGTACACAGGGCTGTACATTCTCTATTCTGCACCATCTCATTCTGTACACTATACTGTACATTCCCTCTTCCACACCATATTGGCCTGAACACTGTGCTGTACATTCCCCATTCTGCACCATGGCATTCTGTACACTGTGCTGTACATTCCCCATTCTGCACCATCTCGTTCTGTACACTGTGCTGTACATTCCCCATTCTGCACCATCTCATTCTGTACACTGTGCTGTACATTCCCATTCTGCACCATGTCATTCTGTACACTGTGCTGTACATTCTCCATTCTGAACTGTGCAGGATGCAGAGATGGGACTTTTTGTCCTCCCAAACGTGACTGTCTGATTGAGAAGTCCTCTGCAACAGGTGGTAATTCCTGAAGAAATGTTGCAGTCATTCAAGGTGCCTACTTATGGTGACAAGTTGTTCTGGTGCAGGGGTAGGCAACTTGCGGCTCTCAGCTGTTGTGGAACTACATTTCCCATGAGGCATTGCAACAGGTACAAAACTGACAGTTACATCTGTTGACTTGCAGAGGCATGATGGAACTTGTAGTCCTGCAACAGCTGGATAGGTGACAGTTGCCTACCCCTGTTCTGGTGGGACTCTAAGAGACCTGAACTGTAAATACATTATTTGTTCTTTATAGAAAAGTGTGTGCAGATCCCGGCTGGTGGGACTGTACCCTAAAGATGGCCATACATGTGGCAAGTTGATTTTCAGCAATTGAACTTTTGATTTCATTTTTTGTTAAAAATGACAAAGCAATCAGTCGTAAAATTGTGTTTTTGATCAACTGCCAGCAGTGCCAGGAGATCTGATCAAACCTGATAGAAAAGTCCTGTCCCGTGCAATGGAATTGCAGTACCATTTTCGTGATTTTGATTTGAGCTTTAAATAAACTGCATAGAAGCTGTGATTATGCTGATTGGTTTTGACTTCACAATTGACCACATTTTTTTAATTGATCAAACTGGCAGGTGATAAATTGATTTAGGCAATTATTTGCAATTGCCAGTGGATAGGAAGTGGTTAAAATTGGCTGCAAATTGCCACATGTATGGCCAGATTATTGCTGGCTACCCAATGCAATTTTTGGGTAACGTCAACCACTCACAGTCAGCTTTCAATTTCAAAAATGGGATGAAGGCAACCATCCCTCCCATCACTTTCTATCAACTCTATTAAAATGATCAAAGTGACCGAAGGGATGAAGACCTGCCAACAAGTTTCCATAAGCTCCATTGAAAGAACTAGTGTTGGTTTCCTTCACACTTTCAGTTGCTTTCCCAATTGAAAGCTGGTGTAGAACCCTCCTAGATGGGTGCTATGTTAGATACATACTAACCTAGCAAGTTGCAAGGTTGACTCCCCCCTGACTTTTGAGGAGTTCTGGAAAGCAGTGGGCTGGAAAAGTCAAATCAGCAGCTGAATATGTATGCAGTGCCAGCCAATCCCTGGGGGAGGGTTCCCAGTAGGTGGTTGGAGGGAACATAAATATTTTGGGGTCTGGAACAGAGGAGTTCTTGTCCAGGAAATCCCAGCCTGAAGAGTAGCTGCTCTTCTGGGCAGTCCCAGCTATGCCTATTCTGCTGAACTTTGCAGGAGCTGACTGAGGGACTTATTTTTGGGGATCTGGTCTAAAATCTTCACAGGAGAGATGTCTGGCAGATATTAGAAGGAGGCATCCTATTATCAGAGGACCTTAGTGAGTACAGACCGATGTGAGAGATCCCAGTGACTATGTTGCTGCTATCCCTCATTAGAGTCAGTGTTACTCAAATAGGACATTGTTTATGGTGTCCCAGTGTAGCTCAGCCCATTTGTTGCTGTGGACTGTGGACTGTGCTCAGATTTCTAGGAGGAAGATAAGTGTCCTCAATTTATTACTTAGTGTTGCTGGAGTATCCTACAGGTACAGGCACTCATCCATATTCAAGTCTGCAATAAAGCATTAACTGCTTCCTGACTGCCCTATAGCAGAATTACTGATACAGGGTGGCACGGGTGCTCAAAATCATGTGTATATATACGTGATTTTGCATTTCCACCATTCACGGCCATGGCTGTCAATCACAAGGTCCCGGCTGGTGATTACTCGCTGGCGCCTGGTGATTACTGAGGATCACTGACGGGGAGGATGACTGTTTTGTTTGCTAACAGTTCTCCTCCCTGTCAGCTCGTGCACACTGTTTTGGATGGCTGTGCACAGCACAGCCATCCAAAGCAGTGTGCTTACAGTGAAGCACACTGACACGGCCCCATAGTAAAAACACTCACAGCACACAGTTAATGCTTTGATCGCCCCTGTTGTTAACCCCTTCCTGCCCAGTACCATTAGTACAGTGCCAGTGCTTTTTATTAGCATTGATCACTGTATTGGTGTCACTGGGGATGTCAGTGACACCAAGTCAGTTCTCCCCAGTGTCAGAATGTCCACCGCAGTCCCGCTATAAGTTGCTGATTGCCGCCATTACTAGTATAAAAAAAAATTCCAGTATCTATACCGCCATTTGTAAACGCTATAACTTTCCTGTAATTAATTTACACGTATTGGGATTTTATTTTAGCAAAGACATGTAGCAGAATACATTTTGGCCTAAATTTATGACGAAATTTGGTGTTTACATTTTTTTACTGGACATGTTTAATAGCAAAAAGTCAAAAATATTTTTTCTTCTCAAAATTGTCTGGGCTTTTTTTTCATAGCGCAAAAACTAAAAAACACACAGGTGATCTAACACCACCGAAAGCTCAATTTGTGGGAAAAAAAGGATGTACGTTGCATTTGGGTGCAGCATCGCATGAGCGCGCAATTGTCACTTAAATTAATGCAGCACCGTAACGTAAAAAATGGCCTGGTCAGGAAGGGGGGGGGGGGGGGGAATCCTCGGGAGGGCAAGTGGTTAAAAAAAAAAAAAAAATACCCCTCTCATGCACATTGCTGGGTAGAATCCATAAAGGGCAGCACAGTGGCTAAATGATTTTGTCTGGAAGTACTAGGGTCGTTGGTACGAATCCCAACCATGTCACCACCTACCTAGAGTTTGCATGTTCTCCCTGTACCTGTGCGGGTTTCCTCTGTTATCCTCCCACACTCCAAAGACATGCTGGGAGGTTAATTGCCTCCTGTCTAAATTGTCCCTAGTATGTGTATGTATGAATGTGAGTTAAGGACCTTAGATTGTACACCCCTTGAGGGTTAGGGACTGATGTGAATGTGCAATATATATATATCTATCTCTGCATAAACTGACAGCACCTGTAATAGAATGCATGAAGGTAAAAAAATCTGTCCAAGCCCTAACAGAAAAAAAAAGCATCACAATCCCAAAGACCAGGGCATGAATATAGGTGCCCTCCATGACATTTGTCAGGCTACAACATACCCTCCATTCAGAGAATACCGACAAACTATCGATTTTTCCATCGAAGCCATTGGATCCTAAGTATTTGTTGGTGCAGATGGAGCATTCTGAATCCTTTTCCCATTCCCAGTAGGGCATACCAAAGTTCTTATTATTTGTGCATTTTTGCATTTGTCTCTCAATAAAAAGTAAGAAAAGGCGATGCCAGGATATAAATGCTGAACTGCCATGAGCATAGTTAGTGAAAAAAATTTCCTGGCCGTTAAAAATTAAAGGTGCTGTAGCATAGTTATGACTAAAAACAGGCACTTCATAGTAGGAGGCATTCACGAATCTCATGGACGCCCTACGTAAACGGTCGTGGCTTGTCAGAATAAGACAATCTGGGTCGATTTTGGTTTTGCAGTAATGGATTGTCTGGAGATATAATTGTAGTTCACTTTCATTCAACTTCAGTATGTTCTTTCGTTGGACAACTTGTGGTATATCGCACCTTTCTCCAGTCCAGCCGAAATTGCATTCACCGCAGTTGTGACCCATGAAACGCGGTTTGCATTGGCAAATCCAGCTAAAGAAGAATTTAGGAAAATCAACGCGTTCATCATTTCGAACATCTGTTGGAGGGGCACTTCTGCTGGTTCTCGGCATGAGGCAGCTCCCCCTGTTATCGCTGCTTCCGCACTGTGAGCCATTGAATAACGGGCAACAAACTACCGGAAACGTTTTAACGTTTTCAACACATGCTCTCGGGAACGGACACATGCTGTCTACAGCTGCCACACACAGCAGGAGTAAGGCGCTGATGAACATTGGCTTCTTCATGGGTCTTAAGTGAAATACCTGCAAAGAGAAAAAATAAAACAAAGATTGTCTATGGTTATGACAAGGGTAAGGGCTCAGTAATATGGTGATTATGACTTCTGTTAGAACTGGAATTATATTGGGATTATGACTACAGAACTAGCCATGGGCTTGGGTTATAATGGAATTCTGGAACTCTCTACCCCAATTTATCACATGGCTTGGGTTATATTGGAATTCTGGAACTCTCTACCCCAATTTATCACATGGCTTGGGTTATATTATAATTCTGGAACTCTCTACCCCAATTTATCACATGGCTTGGGTTATATTGGAATTCTGGAACTCTCTCTACCTCAATTTATCACATGGCTTGGGTTATATTGGAATTCTGAAACTCTCTACCTCAATTTATCACATGGCTTGGGTTATATTATAATTCTGGAACTCTCTACCCCAATTTATCACATGGCTTGGGTTATATTATAATTCTGGAACTCTCTACCCCAATTTATCACATGGCTTGGGTTATATTGGAATTCTGGAACTCTCTACCTCAATTTATCACATGGCTTGGATTATATTGGAATTCTGGAACTCTCTACCCCAATTTATCACATGGTTTGGGTTATATTGGAATTCTGGAACTCTCTACCCCAATTTATCACATGGCTTGGGTTTATATTATAATTTTGGAACTCTCTACCCCAATTTATCACATGGCTTGGGTTTTATTGGAATTCTGGAACTCTCTACCTCAATTTATCACATGGCTTGGGTTTTATTGGAATTCTGGAACTCTCTACCTCAATTTATCACATGGCTTGGGTTATATTGGAATTCTGGAACTCTCTACCCCAATTTATAACATGGCTTGGGTTATATTATAATTCTGGAACTCTCTACCCCAATTTATCACATGGCTTGGGTTATATTGGAATTCTGGAACTCTCTACCCCAATTTATCACATGGCTTGGGTTATATTGGAATTCTGGAACTCTCTACCCCAATTTATCACATGGCTTGGGTTATATTGGAATTCTGGAACTCTATCCCAATTTATCACATGGCTTGGGTTATATTGGAATTCTGGAACTCTCTACCCCAATTTATCAGACTATCGCCTACTCTGCTGACTTTTAGGTGATCTCTGAAAACCTATCTCTTCAGGGAAGCCTATCCTGCCCTCAGCTAATAATGGAATCTTCTACTCCTCCTACCAGTCCATCCCCCACAGTTACTACCTTTTGTACCACTAGCCCCTCCCTCTTAGATTGTAAGCTCCAAGGATCAGGGCCCTCCTATCCCTCTTGTATTGAACTGTATTGTTGCTGTATTGTCTCCCTTTATATTGTAAAGCGATGAGCAAACTGTTGGTGCTATAGAAATCCTGTATAATAATAATAATATTGGGGTTTGGAATACTGTCAATGCCACGGTTTTATAAGGATTATGGTTAGTGCTAGGTTAGAGTTTTTTATAATTATGGTTAGTTTTAGAGTTAGGATTTTATTAGAATTGTGGTTAGTGTTAAATTTAGGTTTGGAGTTTCATTAGGATTACGGTTAGCATTAGACCTAGGTATTTATTGGGATTAAAGTGGTTGTAAAGGCTCAATATTTTTTACCTTCATGCATTCTATGCGTGAAGGTAAAAATCCTTCTCTGTTCAGAACCCTTCCCCCAGCCCCCTAATACTCACCTAAGCCCCCTCTTGATCCAGCGATGTGCACTGGAGTCTCGGCTATCCTTGGACTCCCTATCCCTATTGGCTAAGAAAGCAGTGAGAGCCAATGGCTCATGCACAGCAAGTGAGCCAATGAGGAGACAGAGCCAAACATCAGTCATCACTAGTGATGGAATGAACACCCCCCTGTTCAGTTTGCAGTTGAACATCCGAACCTACAGAATGTTCGACCGTGAACATCGAACACGAACCGAACAACTGAGCAGTATCTTAGCACATCTCAGTATGTGGTAAAATACCGCTCAGCTACTAAAACACGGCGAGAGTTCTATTATTAAGTCATGCGGTATTTTAGTAGTAGTGAAACATTCATGAATGTTTAAGCTGTCAGTGGGGTTCCCCGCTGACATCTGAATGTAAAAAGGATTGTCGGCATTGCCCGACAATTAATTTTAATTTTTTTTTTTAAATGGCGTGGGGTCCCCCCCCTCCCATTCATACCAAGCCCTTCGGGTCTGGTATGAGTTTTGACGGGAACCCCATGCCAAAATTGTTTTAAAAATAGCGTGGGAGTCCCCCCAAAATCCATATCAGACCCTTATCTGAGCATGCAGCTCAGGAAAGGGGGGGGGGGTGAGCTAGTGTCACCCCTCCTGAACCATACCAGACTACATGCCCTTAACATGGGGGGTGCTCCCCCAAAGTACCTTGTCCCCATGTTGATGGGGACAAGGGCCTCTCCCCCACAACCGTGGTCTGTGGTTGGGGGGGTCTGCGGGTGGGGGGACTTATCGGAACCTGGAAGCCCTCTTTAACCACTTCCCGTCTGGCCGCTGTTTATAAACGGCAGGACGGTGGCACTCCAGGAGCGGGTTTCCATTCCTAAATGGCACCTGCATTTTCAAGCTGTGCTCGCTTCCTGGGAGCGCGCAGCACCGCGATCCGGTGCCCCTGTCTCCTCCGGACACAGTGGAACACCGATCATCGGACGGGACCTCCGTGAGAGGTCCCGATCATGTGATCACTGATTGGCCAATCGGTGATCACACGAACAGTAGTAAGCAAGATGTCACTTCTGACATCATTGCTTACTACGTGTGAAATCTGTGAATGATCACAGAGGTCACATGGTACAAGGCTATTCACAACAGCCTTGTACCATGTGACAAGCTGTGACCAATCACAGCTTACACAGTATTTCTCAATGGCTGCAAGAATGCAGACAGAGAGAAGGAGAAATGATTGCTTTTACATCCTTTATAGGTGTAAAAGCAATCAGTGTAAAAAAAAACAAAAAAAATCTTCATCACCCCCCACATGTAGTACAGTGTCACCATGGTGACACTGTACTGCTAGGGTGACAGTATGGGGAAAAAACACATAAATAATAATACAAAAAATAAAATTAAAAATGTAAACACATTTTTTAAAAATTATAATTTTTGGTTATAAACTAATTTGGGTTCTTTTTTCTTTTTTTTTACTAAAAAGATAACAGAATAAATTTTGCCCAAGATTTATAATGACATATTATTTATTTGCAAAATTTTATAAGAAAAACACTTTTTTTCAAAATATTTGGACATTTTCATTTATATAGCAAAAAAAATAAAAATCTCAGCGGTGAATAAATACCACCAAAATAAAGCTTTATCTGTCTCAAAAAATGCTAAAAAAATTTCATATGGGTACAGTGTTGCATGACCGCGCAATTGTCATTCAAAGTGTGATAGTCTTTGACAAGTCCTTTATTAAAAGCAACAGATTTAAAAATGTCCCCTGAAGTAGATCCAACATCAATCATGATGCCCGCCACCTCCACTACCCGAAAAAAGACAAAAAAAATTCCCTCTCCACTCGTAACACTGGTTCCTGACAGCTGCGCCCGCAATGACAGTTCTTATATACTGTCATGACGTCACCAGGGGGCTGTGATTAGACAAGGCACTGCACCTAACCTGTGGTCACAATCACTTTTAGGATGCAGTGCATTGTGGGGCACGGCGGGCTGTTTGAACACCCGTATACACACGAACGGCCCATGTTCAAGTCGAACTTAGGTTGAACACGAACATGAAGCCCATCTCTAGTCATCACTATTAACTGTTCCCATCCACACAGGGAGAGATGAGGGATTTTATGGGCACTCTGTATAAGCAGAGGAGAATGGGGAGGGAGCTGAGCTGCTACACAGACGTAACCCTGTAGCTGCTGAGGAAAGAGCTGAGCCTGTGGCTAAGAGTTAACCCCTCAGTTGTCAGACACTTTTGCATTGTACAACTGAAAGCACCCACTGATAAACCCCTTAACGCCAGCACCTCCCGGCCCTTTAAGAATTTCAGAAGCCGGGAGGCGGGGTGAAGTTTAGGGATCATGTGACTGCTGTGATGCGACGTCATGGTGGTCACATGATCGGGAAATGTCCCGATCGAAAGAGGAGACTGGGACCTTTCCATGAGTACCGGACATGTGTGCTGGGAGCTCGCAGGGCGCGCGCTCTCAGCGCATATTTTTTTTTTTTTTAATAGAACGCAAATGTGCGGCCGCCCGGTGTCTAGGCCCAGACGCCAGGAGGCCGCACATTTGTGTGCGGCCAGCATGAAGAGGTTAACGTAACTGTTTGGTAATTGAGGGTTTAACTGTTAGTCACAGACTCAGCCTTCTCCCTGGCAGCAATAGGGTGATGGAACATGTGTGCAGAGAGAGAGTA